TGGGATTATTGAACTATTATATTTATTATTACCAGAACATGTCCTACTGTGGAAACAAGCGGAAATAGCTCAGCTTGGAGCGCGTTAGACTGAAGATCTAAAGGTCCCTGGTTCAATCCTGGGTTTCAGCAGGCTTTTAGCTGGTAAGACCCTCAGGCATTGCTACTGTAACTTCAGTCTGTGTTATCCACCTTGAATAAACATCATCAACCTCTTCAGAACTTTATCTATCAGTGTATTTCTCCAGCTAAGTAAGCCACAGTGGTATAACCTGTAATATATCAGCATTCACCATGTACAGAAACCACACAGCATGTTTAAACGGTTTCATATCAGTGTAACCACCTTTAAAAACAGCACTGCTCTGTGTGGAACTCATGATTTTAGCCTTCATAGAAACCGTGTATATTTAGGATTTTATTCAATACTCAGCACTTTTTAATCATTATCTCATGGTAAGTCATTGTTCAGAAGAATGGACTGACCAGTGAGCAACACGTGGTGTGAAGGGGCAGTTCTGTCCAGCTAGCAGCATATAACCTGTCCCCATACAACATGGAAACTCCTGCTGAAAACAACCATATTGAATTCCCATAGAAATGACTACATGAGGCAGAGTGATCAGCATGAAACTGTAGTGGTCAGCTCTAAACAGAACATTCTCTTAACCTTTGTTGAAGCTTTTGAATATTTTTGCCTTCTTTCTATTTAGTGATGATTAGAGCACCTTGTTTTCTCCATGAATATGAATCTTGAAAGTGATGCTGGCAGTCATGGTCAGCTAATAACTACATACATGTACACATTGTGAGGAAATCAATATATGTATAATCCCTTTCTTCACTTTTTTAGGCAAAGTTTCCACGAGCGTATATTCTGAAGGTTCTTCTTCTTTCTAATGGGACTCTTTCCTCTTTCAGGGTCTCAGAGAAGGTCTCCCCATATGTTATCTCTTAATTTTTGTCTGGAGGATTGTTTGGTACACGTGCAGGTTTCTCTATGATGGGAGACAGACTTTACTCCTTATCCCAGACTCAGAGAGGAGTAAAATATGTGCCATGATTTGTTTTACTTTAGAGCAGC